GCTGCAGTCAAGCTCCGTGTTCTCGACATTGGCAAGTCTGATATCGACAAGCGCGGGCGCAAGACCAAGGCTCTGGCAGCCAAGATTTCCGAGCTCCAGGAGGAACTTTCACACAACCTTGCCCAGATCATTCCTGGGCTTCTCAATAAGTTCGGTTCCACACCAGAGGCTGCTTCTGCCGTTCTGCGACTGGAACACCTTGTAGACCTGAATACAATCCAGGATCTGCAAAAAGACGCTACTGCTTATACCTCGTTGCTCAATGACATCAACAAGCAATTTTTGACTCATTCGGACCAAGATGTTCTGGCCGAGGCTAGTGTGGCTTTCTTGCATGCCAAGAGCTCCGAGGAGATGCGAGAGGCGCTGGAGGGCAAGGTCCAAGAGCTATGGGATGATATGGTGGAGGCACTGGCTGCCTTGTCTCGGAAGAAGGACGTCCAGGAAGGTGGCTCAATATCCGATCCCACTCTCACCGGCCTAAGCAACACTGTCTCTCGAATTTCGAACCTCGCCGGCATCACAGATTGTGCCTCTATTCTTGAAAGTGTCCCTAACTCACGATCGAAATCCAAGAAGGACCACACTGAAGCCCCATTCAACACCCTCATTCGCCTTGCCGAACGTGGCCTGCGTAGCGAGGACGAGGATGAGGATACCGCCAAGGCGGAGAATGAGCTGGTATCGAGTAGTATCAGGTCGTTGCTTTTCTATTTCATGTGGAAGGTGCAGGCACTGTCCACAGCTTTGAATGACGGGAAAGCCTCCTTCAGCACATCCTACTTCGAAGCGCTGACAAAGAGCCGTGAAACTTTCGCCTCAACGCTCGTCAACATCATGGAAACGCGCCCCGGGCTGGACGACATTCGCTTTATAGCAACTACAACATACCTAGACCTGCAAACGCTCTTTAGCACGCTCCGCAACATTGGCCAAGGCAATGGCAACGACGAAGACATCCTGTTCCAAACCCAAGCCCTAATCCATGAAATCGGACCGGACACCCAAGCCCTCATCACCAAGATTCACGGCATAGCTGAGCGCACATCTGCCAAGAAATCAAGACTCGACCTCGAGCCCGCAGACGACGACGCCCCAGCCTCAGAACACGAGCTCGACTCCGAAAATGAAGCCAGCGACTCCGAAGACGAAGCAGTCATTAATGACCGCCTCCGCAGTAGCATTCTCGCCGAACAGCGCCTCTGTGAGCTGACAGGCAAACTAGTTCTCGCCATCATCGCCCGGATCATCGACGCCTCCGGCTCCAAACGCGGTGCTCTGAAGAAGCGTCTCCTCCGCAATAAGACCGCCCTAGGCCACAACTACCGAGAGGTCCTGTCTTATCTAGAAGAGCGTAAACCCCGCAGTGCTCCTCGCGCCAAGGGCAAGCAGTCTGCCAAGTCTGCTGCTTCTCCTGCCAGAGGCTTCAAGTCTACTGAACATATTGATGATGACGATGAGCACGACCAGCCTGAGCCCATTGAGGAAGATGAGGATGAGGATTTGCGTGCGCGTGGACTTATCGAGGAGGAAGTTGAACAAGAGAATGGGGATGAGGATGAGGAACTTACTCCTGCGCCTGAGGGTGACGAGGATGAGGTGATGGGTGACTGACCTAGTTTGTGTGATCTGACCTTAACGTGTGCCTGAACAAAATCATCTTTTTTCGCTATCATTTCATTGCTTGTTCCTTTCTTTTCTTGTTCCTCTTTTTTACCCTCCACTTTCTTCTCTCTCTTTTATGGATTATGGCTTGAATTAACTGTATCTTTCTTCTTTGCTCTCGTTTGCGTGGATATGGTCCTCTTTTTCAATCTGTATATCTTATATGCTGCTTTTTAATCATTGCTTTGCTGCTACTTTGCTGGCTTGATCGAAATTATTCCCCTCTGGTTTTTTTTTGTATGTTTCGAAATGCTGACTTGGAATTGTAGTGCAGTAGGACGTAGAGTACGTAAATGCCCAGGCCTTGAGTGCGTTTCATCTTTCACTGCTTCGGGGCTCATCACTAGTACTTTGACATTGAGACATTACAGATCCAGTAATCAGAATACACATACAAATTGTCTAGACAGGATGGGAATAGTACTAGCATACAACTACAGGAAGAAAAGATTGATCAAGTGAAATTTGGCATTTTTCCTGGCGAGCTTCAAAGTGTACCACGAGACGAAAACATTTTCAGGAGCATGATTTGAGCAGATTATGAGCGGAGTACGAGCAAATTTGCCATCACGCCCTGTTGCCAACGAGCGAGGAAGTTCTCGCACAGGAGACCAATGCCTCGTCAAGGAACACCATGGTCAGGGGACATTAACGTAACTGGAGAGAGAAAACCGATCCTGCAAACAAATGCGCCTGTGTATGAGGATGCTAAGGGGTGGGGGAGGGGATACATGATGGTGAATCTTGTTTATCGTGAAATCAAAAAAAAAAAGAAGAAGGGGGAAGTGAAATTCGTGACAAGAGAAGATGAGGGAATCAAATGAGCACCAAAAACTGTTTAGACGCAACGCCAGACTGAGAAGTAGCTTGGCCGAAGCGCACGAGAGGCATCGAGGGCTGTTTACGAGCAAGCCTGACCTCTCGGTAGCCAGTGGTGCCCCACCCATGCGAGGATACGCTGGGCGCAACTTCGACGTTTGGTTTTGGAAAAAGGGAGAAGATACAGGGAGGAGGATAGAGCATGGAAGAAAGAAAACTCTTTACATATCCATGGTATCACCGCCGTTGCCGAAGTTAAAGCCACCAGGTTGCTGCTGACCAGTGCCAAGAGCGAATCCGGTCTGCGTCTGTTGGGGAGCAAGCTCCTCGATATCACCACCGGCCTCATCCTCGTCAGAGAAGTACTTCTCGATGATGTTGTAAGCCTTCATGTAAATTTCCTCGTTGGCATTGTTCTGGCAATCGTGGATCTTCTCCATGCCACCTGCCTCCTCGATGAAGAGAGCGTAGCGGTTGACGTGAGCCTCGCCAGGCTGGCCAGCCTCCTTGTCCATATCTCCAACCTTGAGGATGTTCTCAAGGCCATCGAGAGCGACCTGGATGATCTTGTTGTCAGGGCAGGCCAGGAGATCGCACAGGGGCTTGATGCACCCTTGCGAAACAAGGTAGCGGATCTGATCGGGCTTCTGGAGACCACCGGAGGTGGCGTTGGAGATAGCCCAGCAAGCCTCCTTGCGGGTCTTGAAGTCACCGTTGGCAAGCAAGTTGATAAGGGGAGCAATGATGCCAGCGTCGATGACTGCTTGGATCTGGCTGGAGTTGCCAGCAGTGACGTTGGAGATAGTCCAGCAAGCTTCCTTGCGGATGCCATCCTTGGTAGAGCTCAGGAGGGAGAGCAGAGCAGGAAGAGAGCCACAGTTGATGATCACCTGGGTCTGGACGTCATCACCAGTGACAATGTTACCCACGGAACGGAGGGCGGGGGTCTGAACAGAGGTAGAAGCGTGCATGAGGAGCTCCACCAGGCGACGGGGGATACCGGCCTCGATGACGGCCTGAATCTTGTCGTTGGCACCATCGGACAAATAAGAGATAGCCCAGCAAGCATCGATCAGAACCTCGTCGTCCAGCATGTAGATGAGCTTGGCAAGGACGGGAAGGGCAGGGGCAATAGTGTTCCAGTCAGGCTGGGGAGTCTTGCCACGGCAGAAGTTGCTGAGAGTCCAGGTAGCGTTACGGAGCATGCTCAGCTTGCGACCATCGTTGATGAGGTTAAGAAGAGGGCGCAGGGCACCGGCACCCAGAACAAAGTCACGGCAGTGAGGGCTGTCACCAGCAATGTTACCGAGGGCCCACACGGCCTGTTCGCGGACATCGGGCTCGGGGCTGCTAAGCAACTCGACGAAGATGGGGACGGCACCAGCCTCAATGACGACCTGAGTCTGCTGAGCGGAACCGGAGGCAATGTTGGTCAAAGCCCAGGCAGACTCAAACTGAACTAGGGTGTGAGGCGAGCGAAGGAACTCAACGAAACGGGCGACGACACCGGTCTCGATAACACGCTCGATAGGGGGGGTTGCGCTCCTTGGAAAGCAATTTGCGGAACTTGGTGGTGGCCTGAATCTGCTCCTCAACCTGGTCGGAGAAAACTCCCTTCACCATCTGGGGAAGCTCGACGTTGAGCTAAATAATCCATTAGGTTAGCTTGGTTTCAAAATGATTTTTTTTTATTGCAGTGGGGCGCGGGCTCAAAGATCCGACTTGGAGGGGCTTCGTGGGCCATGGCAACAGGGCGGTGAAAAAAAATTCCTTGTTGATGATCGCATCATAAAAACAAAGAAATCTCAAAAAAATGCAGAGAGTGGCAACCACACCATGAGCCCGTAGAAATCCAAGTAAAATAAAGAATGAAACCATTCAAAAGGATCAAAGAGAATTTGGAAAAACCTACCTCACTCTCAATAGCACTGGCCTCATCATCACTCTCGGTGGCGGCTGCCATACCGCCAACTCCGATTCTACCATCTTGAGTTTGAATACCACGTCTCTTAGCTAGGTTCTCATCACGCTTGGCCTTGCGAATCTCGACCTGCTGTTCTTCACGGCGGCGGCGGAGCTCGTCGGGCTTGAACTGGTTCTTGGCCTTGAACTGCGTGCGGCGGTGTTCGGGAATATAGCGTTCCGCCATGATGAAAATGTAAAGAAGAAGGCTAAGCGCGCCGGTTTTGTGTAGGTGATGTTGAGTGGGCGCGCTGGGGATGGAAGGAGAGTAGAAAGTAGGAAGAAGGAAGATCTGATGTGGGGGGGAGAAGACTTCTGTGGGAGGGGAAACGATGCTATCACGTGACTACTCGTTCTATTGACATCCACGGATTTGGCAAGCTCTTCCTCTGATGTTGTTGAAATATTCTCTTTGGGTCTTTGTTCCTAGCAATTACACTCTTATGGCTCATTGACAACAGGAATGTGCATCTTTTATGAGCTGGTTTAGGTTATCTCGTCGGGAGCTTACAGAACGTCATAACTAAAGCTCTTCCCATCAAAAAATAAAAAGCATGGCTCCGGGTGATCTAGTGGATATTACCACTGCCTGTTATGCACAGGGGAATTTCAATGTTCTAGGAGTGGTGGTTGATACCCTACCACTCTATCGGACCAAAGGCTCATCAGCATGCATCACATTCACCATCAAAGACTCTGATTTTGATGCACCAACCTGGCAAGGCGGTCTCAAAGTCAAATATTTCAATGACGATGAGAGCAATCTTCCCAATGTCAAGCTCAACGATGTAGTCCTACTTCGAGATGTCCGGGTGAGTGGATATGCATGAATGCAGGAGCATAGTAAACTGATATGATTTAGGTGACAGTTTACCAGAACAAACCTACAGCGGTTATTTCCCAGCGATCAATTGTATCATGGGTCATTTTTCGACCAGAGCCAAGTTCGACTTCCAGCCCGTTCGTCATCAGTGGTCCCATTCCTTTCGAGCCGAGTCTAAAAGAGAAAGACCAGGCACAATCACTTCTAGACCGTGTATCTGGTGAAGGAACCACTGTGCAACATTCCACGTCGTGCAGTGTACCCGTCTCTCGGCAGGCTTCTCATGTTCAGGCCTCTCGTCCACTCGTAAAATCCGGAGGGTTGCCGTATATCCCTATTCAGTCCGCGAAGGCTGGCAAATTGTGTCAATTACTTGGCCAAGTTGTGAGCCTCAATACTTATGACAGCCAAAAGTGTCTACTATACATCACTGATTTCACTGAGAACGAGGAGCTTGTCAACTACAAAAAACCCGGAGATGAAGATGATGAATCAGGCCCTGAGGGAGACCGATTTAATTACATACACAAGTCAAAGGGCTGGCCAGGTCCTTGGGGCCAATTGACCCTTGAAGTGACTTTATGGGAGCCGCATGCTACCTATGCCCGAGACCACCTCAAGGCAGGCGATGTCGCTTTGTTGACCTATGCCCGTATCAAGGAATGCCGTCGTGGCTTGGAAGCTGCCGTTCATGAAGACAGAGTGTACCCGGAAAAGATCCATGTCCGGAAGGTGAATGGTAGCACTGATGAGCGTGTACAAGAATTGATGAACCGTCGGACAGAATATTGGAAGATCCACGGTGAACCCAAGGCCGAGACTAAAAAGGCCAAGAAAAGGAACAAGAAAGTAGAGCAGAAACGGGAAGCCCGGAAAGAAGAAGGCCAACTGACCATGCCAGCAGCATCACGCATTAGGTTGAATCCACATGGTGAATCATTATGTCCTCAAGAGAAGTATGTTGGCTGATGAATGTTTAGTGAAAACCCAAAAATTACACAGTGCCGAATGTCCCTCTCGAGAAGATTTTGTTGGCAGAAACCCATCTAAACAATGCTCCAGGGGGCGCTGTCTACCGACTACCCTTTCAAAACGTCACATATCACTCCCAAGTCCGAGTAGTCGACTTCTTTCCCCCAAGGGTAGAAGACTTTGCAGTTCAAACCAATACCGAGTCACAATTCGGCTGGGAGTGGCGGTTTTGTCTGCTTGTGGAAGGCGTTGAGCCCAAACCTTCCAAACAGCCCCGAGAAGTGATGAAGCTCTATGTGTGCGGTCAAGATGGTGATTTTCTTCTTGACGATAATGCATTCAACCTCCGTGACTATCCATCAAGATTGGACGCGATAAAAGAGAAGCTCTTCCTTCTATGGGGCAATCTCGAGGAGGAAAAGTCGAAAGCCATGGCTTCTGATCAACAGAGTTGGGGACCAGTGCAGTCGCGCCCATTCGAGTGCTGCATCAAGGAATACGGCGTTCAGTGTACCCATAGCAAAGGCCCTGATTTCATGGATGTCGACGGCGAGGTGTGCAGCCACCCTGATTGTTTTGGATGGGAGAGACGTTTTGCCATGTTCGGCACGACTATCCACACATAAAGACGAATCCCAAGTCTTGTAATACTATCATTGCAAATCACCACTAAATAATTCCTGTATCGATTGATCTTTTATACTAATACAATTTAAATCTTCAAACCAATAGATAGTTAAGTCTTTTGCGCCTGTAACCGTCTTTTTCACCCGCATGGAAGAAAAACCAACAACATTGAATTCAATGAGTGTATAGCAAGCCTGCTCTCGTGCACCATCCATAACTCCCGAATGATCGAAATTTTGATAACGTCATGGGTGCTTTCCTTTGAACCTTTTCCCCGTGAACCCTCAAACCCGGTCACGCCGAACTGAATAGACAATATTAGGACATTGCAAGTGCAAAAGATTCAGATCACACAAGGTGAGCATAAGACTGCGAGAGATGGTCACTCAAATTTTTGTAACTTTGACAATGTTCGTATCGATACCGTGCGCCACAGGCTCAAAGCGGCAGCTTTCGCCTCGGAAGCAAGTCTTTTTACCAGGCTCGCTCTGAGGGCAACGATGGCCATAGATACACTCAACATCATCGCATTCTAGACCAAAGCGACAGGGCGTCATGCGGGCAATGGCGGACAGAATGTGCAGGTCTTGGCGAGACAGTTTGCGATCATGGTCATGATAGCAGTTCTCTTCATTAGGGCATTCACCGAGCAAGAAATGATAATTGCAAAGCTTCAGCTTCTTCAGTTTGTTAAGATCATCGCGAGGAATGCTCTTGAAGTCGAGTCGATCAACCCGCTGACCATACTTATTCCGTTCCACTGTCTTCGGAGGGGTTGCACCAGGCACCTTGGATCGAACAACCTGGAAATCAGAAGACTCGGGTTTATTCGTCACTGGGGCCAACGGAGCGCCCAAATTTGACACGCTGGTACTGGTAGACGTTCGTGACAGAGGAGCAGGTGTTTGGAATTGCTGGGTTGGCGAAGGTGTGAGCAAAGTCCGCGAAGGGATTGCACTTTTCCAGGGAGCAGCCCAGGACGGTGTACCCGGTGTACCCGGTGTACCAGCTGCACTCGGTGCACTCGGTGCACTCAACGTAATTGGAGAAATCTTTGTGGTGCGGAAAACATCTGGAAATTGAGTGATTCGATAATCCTGCTCTCGGAAATAATCAAATTCCTTCTCGAGTGGAAGGCCCTCAAGCAGCGAGACTCGGCCCTTATAGTTCGCACCAGAAATGAGTTCTGTCAATGACCGAGCATATTCTTCTGTGGATGGACACCCCAAGAAGAGTTGGTGGCAATGGCAATTGTATAAGTAAAGCTTGAATGCCTCTGGAGGGAGCGAATCAGCAACAGATTCTGCCATGTCACGTTGTACCACATACCCTTGATTTTATCATGCGCCTTGCTTTTGCCTGTTCCAACGTCCACAATTTCGAAGAATGATGCGCTCTCATTGAATCCTCGAATAAAATCACTGATGGTGGAGGCCTCTAGGGCAATTCCACCCCGGATGTAAGTCTCCATAAGTCCCTTCACATTAAGATAGATCTTTGTCATTATCTTCGGCTCGGTGATCGTGGAAAGAATTCTTGAAACATAGGTCTGAAGAGATTTCCAGAGCTGCTTGGCCGCATTGCGTCCACCCTGTTCTCCTAGTTGCAAAAATTCGTCCCTGAATATAATCCCTTCGCCGTCTAAAAGCAACACGACGAATGGTTCGCGGTCCTAGAGGGGGAAAAATGAACATTAGCCTGGATTTAGACAGCGCGTCCACAGCTGTGCTTACCATCATCTTCTTGACAACTGATATCTGGTCCATCAGCTCCATTTCATGCACCTGAACCTCACGATTGAACCGGGTTTCGCGTTCATGGTCGAGTTTCTCTTGTTGGAAGGAATTTTCTAGGGCGGTAACACGTTGAAGAAGTTCCTATCATGAGTCTTGTTAGAATGAATTCAGGCCAGGGGAGGAATGGTTGGTACCTCAATGAAGTCATTCTTCTGCTGGTCCAGAGCACTTAGCTGACGATAGCGCTCTAAATAAGCTTGAGTCGCCATTTTTGTAGATTGATTTATCGTTGAAGATCTGAAAGATGTTGAAATTGCGAAGATGATGAATGCGACAAAAGATAAGGAAGAAAGAAAGTAAGGGAGAGAAGCAAGTTTTAAGTCTGATCAAAGCGAACTTGGAAATTCCGGTTGGCAAGCGCTTGCAGGAGGTGACAATCTACAAAGCGCGTAAAGTGTTGCTAGTGTAATCACCAATGATCAGCACCTCTCTTTATTAAATTAATTGATATAAGGAGAGATTTTATAGTCGTCGTCTTTGCTTCAAATAAAAAAAATCAATCTAAGACCGCGGGTGCTATCTGGCTGAGTCAGCTCCCCGGTTTTGCATACGTGGAGCCAAATATTCCCCTTCACTTCATCTTGACCTTGATCTCTCCACGTTTCTTGTTTCTCCCTTCTCCTTTCTTTCTTTTCTTCCTTTCGGCTTCAAGATGACTCGTTTTGGTTTCCTCTCTCTGGCTTTACTCTCTCTTCAGGCCTTTGTTGGCACCGGCTTTGCTGCTGTATGTTTTTCATCTTGGGTTATATCTGGGTACCTTGTCGCGTGACTCAATTGGCTAATTATCTGATTTCGAACTTGTAGGATGCTGAGAATGCCGAAGCAGAGGTTCCCGCCCTGGCTGTCTCAGCCCAGGCGTCTTTCCCTGCTTCCGAGATCTTCGGTATCAAGCTTGTCAACGGTCACCCTACCCAGGCACTGATCGCCATCTCCAACAATGAGCCGAACCCCATCACGGTGAACTTTGTTGGCGGCAGCCTGCGAAACTCCGATGATCAGACTCAGGTTGTCCGCAACTTGACAGCTACTCGTTACGCCATCGAAGTTCCCGCTGGCGAGAAGGAGACCATCAGCTACAGCTTCGCCACCGAGATGCACCCCCAGGATCTCCAGATGACTCTTTCTGCCATCATTTCGGACAGCGAGGGCCGCTTGGTTTCTGTAGTTGCCCACAATGGCACTGTTAGCATCGTGGAGGCGGATACCAGCATCTTCGATCCTCAGATGTAGGACCTACCCACCCCGCCCCTTTAGCCTTTTGTCGTATGAGGACAGTGAGACTAACAATTGCCATCAGCATCTTCCTCTACTTCTTCCTGCTGGCCTGTGTGTCTGGCACTGGTTACTTCTTCTACACAGTTTGGGTCGCTCCTTACTTCCCCCAGAAGCGCAAGTCCGGAAAGACCAGCGAGAAGCGCACCCAGGGCTCAAAGCGCGTCGAGACCCCTGTTTCTGAGGAGCCTTCCAGCGGCGCTGCGGTGTCTTCTGCCAGCGCCTACAACGCTGATTGGATTCCCTCTCACCACATCAACCGACCCGAGGCCCGCAAAGTTAAGGGCCGCTCCAAGGCCCGTGCGTAAATGCACTCATGACAGCCATGTCGCGGATGGAGGAAATAGACAATTATGTTCAATCTATACCATTACCGGAGTTTTTGTCTAGTGTGAGGGCAGCATGGATCATGTGCTGAAAATGCACCGGCCCCTACTGCTTACCACAAAAGACATGTATATCTACCAGATAGAAGATTTTGGCCCAGTTTAGCTCCCATGGGCGCCAAACAGGATCGTTTTTGGAGAGTTTAATCCAATATATATCACGCTGTGCCTGCTTTGGCAGCACTGGTATATCTTCGCAAGCACGCCGATAGCTCACAGTTTCTTCCATTCTTTAAACTCCTGCTCCAGATGTTGCTTCAATTCCGCAAACCGGTTCCCAAAGCCCCTACCACAGCGCCAGCAAGTAAAATCTCGCTTAAGATACCCCTCTTCGGTTGGATTCCGTCGCACGTCATCTTCCGCTAGTGGAAAGTCTTCGATTGGCACGAAGAAAGGTGTCGAAAAGCTGTTGTAGTGTTTCCGGTGCTTCAAGCGCTCGCTATACCTATCCACTGATAACACATGGACATGCAAATGGTTCATGGATGGTACAGCATGTACCCCGACCACGATCTCCTGTTCCCAGTCCCGACCCTGCGGTAGCTTGTCAGGCGGCGAATCAGCACTCAGCGCTGCCTGTCTCGCCTGCTCCTGAGCAGAGTCCTTCCCGTATTTGCGTCGCAGCTCACCCGCTGCCAACTTGCGGAGTGTTTGGGTTTCAGCTTTGACTTTTGCTAAGAATTCAGCGTCCTCGAACGCATCAAATGGATGCATGCGCGTTTTGGTCTGGTCGCGGGGGAGAAGGAGGAGGTGTAGCGATGACTTTGGAAACATATCATGGATCGCCACAAAATCATCGTTATGATAGACTACGACATCGGGAGGGTAGGTCTCAGGTTTAGCTATGTAGGCGCCTAGTCCGTCGCGGACACCAAACGCAGTCTTGCCCTTGGCCGCATTGCGATCAGACGGGGCTTTAGTCGCGTGCTTGGGTTGCTTGGTCTTGGGAGCCAGGAGTTCTGTAACTGTCAACCAGATATGTTAGTCAAATCGTCTTCGGTGACAAGACTCTGGGTATCTTTACAGGCGTTTCTCTTTTCCGATGTCCCAGTTTGCTCCTTTGGCTCACCCTTGCTCGAATTGGAGTGTTCCCCGGACATGATGGTTGGTGTAGAAGTTTGACTCGTGGTCACACAATATATATTAGGTGAAGCATTGCCTTGAAGCAACAAAATTCAAGTCTCACATCAGTGGACGGAGTGAAAGTACATATGATACATGCACCTGTTGGGACTTAAGTCTCCCGTGGTCGCTGCACTGCTCCGTATGCTCCCCGCAATCCCGAAGTAGCTTAGTGCGGGTTGCTCTTTTGCCTGAGGCTCAAAAAGTTATCTTTTGCGCAAAACACTCACCACACAAAAATGCCACCTAAGAAGAAAGGCGATGGCAAGGGTGGCCCCAAACCGGGTACGAAACAGGCCAAAGCCGTCGCGGAGAAAGCTGGCGAATTGAAGAAGCAAGCGCCGGAGGAGCCTAAGAAACCGTCCGTCAAGGATGTCATCGGTGGCGCATCATGGACAGGCAAACTACCGGTCAATATGTTGGCAGAGCACTGTCAGAAGCAAAAATGGGAAAAGCCTGAGTACAGCATGGTAATCAAACACCCCCATGACACCCGTCACATGTCTATATACATATATTAAACCAGATGCTGATAGATTGCGCCAATTGCAGATTAAAACCGCCGATGGGTTCGTATCTTCCGTATCGTTGAAGAAGATAGATCCGAAAACCAAGGAACTGATTGTGATCCCCCCCAATTAAGCTCCCTGCCTCCCATAAACAACTCGCCGGGCAGCCAACAGCCCTCGAAGCGCGCCATTTCGGTGCAGCATTTGCTCTGTTCCGAGTATGCAACATGCGCAATATTCATATGATGATGCCTCCAACATACAAGAAATTATGGAAAGAGGATTTTGCAGAAATTAAAGCGGCAGAGACTCGGGAAGGCAAGGGCTGGATGTACGAGGCAGATCCATTCTTAGCCAAGCAAGAAAGAGAGAGCGCAGCCGCCGACTTGGCAAAGAAGCGAGCAGATCGCGAGAAAGCCCAGGCAAGGGAGAAAGCCTCGAATGTGGAATTAGGGCTAGGAAATGGGGATGCCAGGAGTAAACGCATCTGGTCTCAAGCACCCAAGGTGGACATGGGCACACGGATTCGACGAGATATCGAAGGCCTTTTGCGGCAGCATACAGTTTGGAATCCATATGGCGTGAAGATCCCGGAAAACCAAAAGAAAAATATTGCAGACGAATTCACCGGTCTAGGGTTCCGTCGCAGCCATGTGGAAGAAGCCACAGCGGAATGCAAAGACCGCGAAGAAGTCTTGGAGTGGCTTCTCATCTATGTTCCTGATGATGACCTCCCACGGTGGTCTCTGCCGGAAGGCTATTCTGCTGGAGTAAGCCTTGGTTCTGGAGACCTTGCTCGTGAGGCCAAAGTCAAGCGGCTGGCATCTGTGGGCTATCCGGCTGACATGTGCTCCCAAATCTTGGACAGCAAAAATGGCGACGAATTGGCAGCTGCTGAGCATCTGCAAAGCACTTTGGTCCATGGAACTCAATGCTCTGCCCCATCAATGGCCGACGAAGACGAAGAGGCTTGGGCAGAAGAGGCGACTACATTGGAGGCCATCTTCGGAGAACGTTATCACCGCATATCAGCCATGGTCTGCGAAATAATTAGCGAAGCATCGGAACTTCCACCAAACACAGTTTTCCGCTTCCAAAAGCCCTCCGCCCATTATCCATCCACACCTCCTGTGATATCAATCCAGGCCAAGGGCGTCCCGGCTTATATACGTTTGAGTGCGATCCGCCGGGCAGTGCAGTATGCCGAGGAAAACTTTACAGGTGAATCCATGATCTTCAACATCATGGATTGGCTAGAGGTTAACCTACCGAGCATCATGGAGAACCCGGGTAGACTGCGGGAGATTTCCGCTGTCACAGCTTCATCAGCAGCTGAGACCCACGAAATTCCTGTGCGTTCGGCTCGTAAGAATCGCAGAGGTATTGACTGGACGGTCGACTCGCCACGAAGCTTGGCTATCCGAGATGCTTGGGAAGCTAAACAAGATACTGCGCCGCAGATTGAGATGACTCGGAAAAGAAAAGCCCTCCCTGCATGGAACATCCAACATGAGATCATGCATGCTATAAACTCGAACCAAGTGACTATCATCTCGGGTGAGACGGGTAGCGGTAAAAGTACACAGTCCGTACAGTTTGTGCTAGACGATATGATACAGCGAGGACTGGGAGGTGCTGCCAACATTATCTGCACGCAGCCACGACGAATTTCAGCCCTTAGCCTTGCCGACAGAGTCAGCGATGAGCGGTGCGCAGTAGTCGGCGATGAAGTCGGATACGTGATCCGGGGCGAGTCGAAAGCCAAACCTGGTTCTACAAAGATTACTTTCGTGACTACTGGTGTCTTGCTGCGTCGGATCCAGTCAGGTGGTGATGCAGATGGCAATGTTGCAAGCTCCCTTGCAGACGTATCGCACGTGGTGGTCGACGAGGTCCACGAGCGAAGTCTGGACACAGACTTCTTATTGGCGCTGCTGAGAGATGTCCTAAATTACCGCAAGGACCTGAAAGTCATTCTTATGAGTGCCACCCTTGATGCTGCTATCTTCATGAGATACTTTGGCAGTCAGAGATCTGTTGGACTGGTGAACATTCCCGGACGAACATTCCCTGTCCAAGACTATTATTTGGATGACGTTATTCGGTATACATCATTTGCGCCAGAACTTACTGAGGACTATGAAGATGAGGAAGAACCCTCTAGGGGTGAAGAAACACTTGGAAAAGCTTTGCGGAGCTTGGGTATGGGAATCAATTACGATTTGATCGCAGCAACTGTCGAATACATCGATGCTCAGCTAGGAAACCAGCCAGGAGGAATCTTGATTTTCCTCCCTGGTACTTTAGAGATTGATCGTTGCCTGAACGCAATCAAGAGGATTCCAAACATGCATCCCCTGCCATTACATGCCTCCTTACTCTCAGCCGAACAACGACGGGTATTCCAGAGTGCACCAAGAGGAAAAAGAAAGGTCATTGCTGCTACAAATGTCGCAGAAACCTCAATCACAATCGAGGATGTTGTTGCTGTCATCGACACCGGTCGAGTCAAAGAAACGAGCTACGACCCTAAGGACAACATGGTTCGTCTCCAAGAAGTATGGGCATCACAAGCCGCCTGCAAACAGCGTCGTGGCCGAGCAGGTCGTGTCCGCGCGGGTAACTGCTATAAGCTATACACCCGCAAAGCCGAATCAAACATGGCCCCACGACCAGATCCAGAAATTCGCCGTGTCCCCCTAGAGCAGTTGTGTCTATCCGTCAAATCCATGAAAGGCATCGATGACGTCGCCTCCTTCCTTGCCAACACCATCACCCCACCAGAAAGCATAGCGGTTGAAGGTGCACTGAACTTCCTGCATCGCGTAGGCGCTCTGGATCACGACAGGCTCACAGCCCTAGGCCGCTACCTCTCCATGATTCCCGCAGACCTCCGCTGCGCCAAGCTCATGATCTACGGCTCCATCTTCGGCTGCATGGAACCCTGCCTCACAATCGCAGCCATGCTCACAGTCAAGAGCCCCTTCGTCTCGCCACGCGATAAACGCGATGAGGCAAACGCCGCCAAAGCAACCTTCTCTCGTCCAGGCGACGGCGACCTTCTCACCGACCTCACAGCATATCAGGCCTGGTCCGAGCGATCGCGCTCTCAGGGCGGTTACTGGGGCACTCAGTCGTGGTGTGCCGACAACTTCCTCTCCCACCAGACGCTACGCGATATCTCCTCCAATCGTGCGCAATTTATCACCTCCCTGAAAGACGCAGGCATTTTGCCAGTCCAGTATTCCGATTCGTCATCTTCGGCCTGGAACCGCAACGCAGCCAACCGCAACTTGATCCGCGCGCTCATTGCTGGAGCCTTCCAGCCACAGGTTGCGCAGATCTCGTTCCCGGATAAGAAGTTCGCCAGCTCAGTAACTGGTACCGTCGAGGTGGACCCGGATGCTCGCACTATCAAGTACTTCAATCAGGAAAATGGTCGTGTCTTTATCCACCCCAGCTCCATCCTCTTCTCTTCGGCCGGCTATCCCAGTGCCGCGGCGTATCTCAGTTACTTTACCAAGATGGCTACCAGCAAGGTCTTCATCCGCGATCTCACTCGTGAGTTACTTCCCTTCTATCCCTCATGCTATCACCTTCTAACACACATTGTTTTTACTTGCAGCTTTCAATGCATATTCCCTCCTTCTCTTCTGCGGCTCTATAGAACTCGACACTGTGGGTCGTGGACTAGTTGTAGACGGCTGGCTCCGTCTACGTGGCTGGGCCCGGATCGGCGTCCTTGTTTCGCGACTTCGTACCATGTTGGATGAAGCCCTTACGGAGCGTTTCGATAATCCTGCGGCTGTATCTGATGGCAGCAGTCTTGGTGATAGAGTGATTGAGGCTGTGAAAAAGTTGATTGAGTTTAATGGGCTTGATCAGTGATCTGCATAGGCAAGTTCTTGGGTCGAAAATATATATGCGCATATATCTTCTTAGAAGGGGGAACAATTGAAACGCTTTACGAGACACATGTACCAAAGATCATGTCTGATACTATCTTGCGTCTGATATGTCAGAGCATCCAAGTCTCACGTCGTGAGTAGTGGAGGTTGTGTAGGCGGCCGACTATGTAGTCCTGGAAAGTATACAGCGGCTCGATGCACTAAAGGAAAATCATCCTCCATGGGTGATAGACATGCGGCTTAACTTGGCTTCATTGCCAATTGCATCAATCTTTTATCGTTGTCTTTATTGATACCATAAACCTGGAAGTGATCCAAGTTGAAGGTTACAAGCCAAGATTTATAGGAATATGACGTCATATTTGACTACTAGTACAACTTTTTAGAACATACAGAGGGTGGCACACAGCCAGTCATGTGACTTATGTAGATAGAGAGTGTATCAACGGTTACCCAGCTACCAGCCCAGCAAGAGAAAAGAGAAAACAAAAGCAGTTCGAACGCCCGCAAGAAAAGAGATCATCGTCAACGCCTTCCGATCATCTATTCGTATGTCCGGAAAATGGTGGCGTCAAGTCATCTCGTCGTCAGCCCAGTAGAGCTGGGGAAAAAATCAGAAGCCAGAAAGAAAAACAAAATGAAAGTGAAGAAAAAAAGACTGGAGTCATGCGCAAACGCCATGCAGAAAAAGAACCGATTCGCGGGTTTACGCCGAAAGAAAAACAAAACGCCCATGTTTGACTGAAAAAAAGAGAAGTTTAGAGATCGTAGATGGTGGTGAGAACCAGCGCTCATGAGGCATGGGTATACAAACCACCGGGGTATTAGTTTGAGATAAGGGATTAGTAGTTTGCGTAGCCATCCAAGCGATCTGGATCATTGAGACTGACGGGCTTAGGCAAAGCGAAGTCCGTGGCAAGCTCGGCTTCAACAAACATCGCGGCACGTTTAAAACGCCGATCTGAATACTTTTCAAAGATGGCGGCGTGGTGACGGCGAGGATTCTCACAGCATTCCATCAGTGTGGTCAGAACCGGAATCAGCTGGGAGTAAAGATAACCACTGTAAAAGGCGTGTGCCGGCGTCTATCGTTGAATGTTAGCAATGTTATCCTTGAGCAAACGGAGCGAAACCCATACCCAGTTGCCCTTGTTTAGCAGCAGACGAGACAGGCAATGGGCACCGGCAGCAATGAAGCTGGGCGGGGTGCAGACAAAGCGCTCGTCCATAATAGCCAGCTCAAGGAAGTACTTGGCAACAGTACGAGTTTCCAGGTCATATTCATCAGCCTTGCTAATGCGGCGAAGGAAACTCATAGGACCAGGCCATCCAAGATCGAAGTCGAGGATCGTAAGCATGAACCGTTCTGCCTTCAGAATCTCGTCCACGGAATATCCACTATCAACCATGTAAACGATTTCTTGCACAGAAGGGGCTGTAATCTCCTCGAACTTTGCAGCAATGAAGATGGCGGTTGCACCAACAAGCTGCAGTTTGCCCATTGAAACAACCTTGTAGGACAAAAAGCGGTCGATGTAGTTCACTGTGAGGAACAGTGTTTCAGGCAGCAAGTTGAAGCGCTGGTGAACTTGAACGAGCCAGTCCATCAGAACTGAGCGCATCGACCACTGGAGTTCGCTCTGACGGGCCATGTAGTCAGGGACCGGGAGCATATCGATCTAGAGGCAATTCTGGTTAGTTCCAATTGATACCCGGCGTTGGAAGAGCAACACGTACCTCTTTCTTTCTTAAGTGAAGGAAAATCTCGTCGTTATACTCTGCGACCATGGTTGTGTCCAACAGTTCTTCCTCGATGTCCTCTGGTGTTTGCTCACTTTCGACAATGTCTTTAGCCCGGAACATCTCACGAGTGGTTACATTGCTCATGCATGGATAAATGACGGCAGTGGCTCCATCGGTATTATCCCCACGAGTGGAGTAGATGGGCGCAACGTGATACTCGGTATCATCCCCGTCCCATTCCTCAGGCTCTGATACCGCCGACACAGGCTCCTTGACATTTCCGTGCTCCTTGATATCTTCGGTCTCAGATACGGTGGCATCAGACTCGACGAGGCTAGCACTATCCACGTTAAGCCTATTCGAAGGCTCCTCCTCAACAACATTTGAGGGTCGCACTTTCTCCACTCCCTTATAGCTGGCCTTGACTTCTGTGTCTGTGTTGGTTTCCTTGGATGCGTCTTTTTCGGGGACGGTGTGCAGTTGTTGGTCTTTGAAGACGGCGTTGTTTCGCTTCGATTTGTACGCCAGTTGAGCTTTGCCGGCGGGATTCATTGGCTTTGTTGTGACAACGGTATCAGCGATGCCCCTGGTTCCTGACAGAGTCATGCGGCGCTGGGCTGGCTGGGACAGTCCAGGAGCCTTCACCTCAGCCAGGGCGGGCTTTCCACCGACGGCGGAGTCATCCCGGCTAGCCCGACTCATATCCTTGGTGTTGCTCACATCAACAAATGCCCGTCGGCCAACATTGTTCTGAGCCATCATACTCAGAGCGGGGCTTGACTTGTTTCGTTGATGGATTACCTTATGGTTCTGATTGTGGAGGGACGGCGGGGGCACATTCTCATCCCCAACAGCTCGGAATCGCTGTGGCTTTAGTCCCAGTTAGCATCAGTATAGCTCTGGTGGAGGATCAAGCAACTCTAGAGCAAGCCTGGGCAGATACACAATGCGACACCGAACGCGGCGACGTTTTACGCGATTGACGCGTAGGAATAGAGGAGTTGGGTAAATAGAGCATAAAAATGACAATGACTCACCTTTGCGTCCATGGCTAAGAACAATGAAGTATCAAGACGTGGTGTCGAGTCTACCTTGAAGTTGGTCGAGAGGTGTGTTGTTTACTTTTTGCTGAGTTGGGGGATACGAAGTTGCCCTGCGTGATTGGCCGACCCAGGCAAAATAAACAGTCGTGGGGACCCGCTCAGTCGCAACTTCCGAATATGTCCTCGTCACTTGAACGTTACTTAGACGTTACTTGGACGTTACCACGAATGAACGTCTAAGTAGACCTGGAGAGCTAGGTGCACCGAAATGAATGATTGAGAACGAAAGTGACAGTCACTGCGATGAAGGGAGGTCGTGTTGTCCCTTACTAAAGATGTGCCTTGTTGACAATGTACGCTATTCCTAAATCGGAAGCTACGGTCGCGCACACCTTCCTGCCGCGCACACTACTACTAAGCAATGTATGTAGAAAATTTTCGTTTCTAGGTATGAGAATATGTATACACATCTATACCTCAGTAAGGGAGACAGCATGTGAATCCATCCGAGCATGATTTCCTGGGGTTCGGTCAAAGGTTTGATTCAGAGCTATCAGTCCAGATTAATCCATAGGACAGCATGGGCCTTTTGACAAGCTTCTAGCTTTGTTTGGCTTTTTTCAAGGATCCGATTTTATATACTCCCCAGCTCTTGTAGATAGGTAGGATATACTTAAGCCTTGGAGAGTGCTTTCCATACTAGTGTACATACCAGGAACTTCCGAGGTCAAATTGATACCAACCAAGGTTCCAAGGCTGGAACTTCCCGAGGTCGGGACTCGGAGGTTAAGCTTAGATGTTTGTTCTGTTTGTATTTAGTTTGCACTGTTTGTTCAATATTTGACGTCATCATCCTTATCGGCGCGTCTCCTTCGACGTCCATCGAACATTATTTTCCTTTAAATAGCATCCCAGACTGAGTGAAACTGTACAAAAAATTATCTACAAGCAGGCTCAATATGAACAGAGAATTTCCATCAAAACGATCCTAATATAAATAATATTTGCGAGTGGAATCGCCATTTTATGGCCTGATCTAGATCTAACGCGTTATCTACACGAGACCACGTGAGAACCACACCGCCGTCACAAGAGGTGGGACACCCGGAATCAAGCGGTTTCTGTTTGGCAGCTTTGTGATCAACCGAAACCCACTTCTATCATTACGACAAGTCGTCGGCTTTTTCAGTCTCGCTAGATGATGTGGGGTTTCAGATCAGAGGAAATGGGCAGATTCGGAGTAAATTATAGATTCCCACGTTCTCGGATCCGATGTTCATCGTCAATTCAATATATTCAATATATTCAATATATTCAATATATTCAATATCCAGACCTTTTTGCGCCCAGTCACTCAGCATCACCGCCTGACTCCACCAAGCAGAAATATGTTCCCCCTTTTTCATCGGCTATTATTTTCTTCAATAAAAGTGTGGAATCACGGATTTGCGATATTCCGAACTCCCTTTTGTAGCCATGTTCCAAGGAGAGCGGAATGCTCTGTAACCTCCGGGATTCCCTTTTTTAACCTTAGGTAGGTCCCGAGGAGGGGTAAATCCAAGGTGCAGATCATGCGAGACAACTCCAGAAAGTCATGCGATATTATACAAAAGGGTTATTATGGGGATTGGAACGGGTTGGTTCTTTCGATATCCTGTCAGTTGGGTATATAAAATCTCCAGGTCCGATCCCATAGGCGGATCAACAAAACGTCTATGAATCGCCTTACCCTAGCTATTTTGATATCAAACCACTTGATAAGTGTCGCGCTACCTAGTGTTCTTCAATCCACATAGTAAATGAGTAATGCGACAAGAGCGGTGGTGGGAAAACGACTGGACAATGTCGATTCTGTCCAAGCGCACACCTCCACAATAGACCAAAAAAAGGGTATGGGTTGCTACGTGGTCAAGCTAGAAACTAGCTGCAAGCCAATAAATCCACTAGGTGCTATTTCTTTATCTTATTTTGCGCCCGTAGGTCTCAAGTCCTGGGATACTTGTGGCGACAGAGGTACCTAAGCTACCTTTGTGTGAAGCGCTGCATATTCCCCCCCCTCAAAGTCTCAGGTAGCCCACACTCGCTTACACTTCATCCCTGAAGATTCTAAGATCGGATTATATTATCAATTTCGTACATTATACGCAAGAAGGGGGGTTATACAAAGTGCTCCGTCACTCGGCGCAATGGCATCCGGCTTGCGACAGCTTTTGCGCCTTTGCGAAAAGATACAGCATTGGGATGGCTTCGCACATAGTTATTTTTTTCAATGCATAGAATAGTTGGAAATCAAATGAAGGTTTTATAGAGATTCATTAATATCATGGAATGTGATGGCTGCTTCGATGGGCGCCGGAAGCGCAAATCGCCATGTCACCGACCCAGGCAGGCCGTTTTCTCGCTTTAGGTGAAACCATCGTACGCACCCACCTCAACCTTCTTCCTTCCATCCAACAACCCCTCGAACAAATCGCCCTCAGTGCCATCAACAGTATTGGGTATGTATCTCTCCTCCGATTCAATCTTACTTTTTACTTCCCTGACCCCATTTCTATCCTGGAGATGCCACCGCTGACATAGCCTCAGCGCCTCGTAGAATCGACAATCCCCTCTCGACCTCGACCGAACCCATCCTTCGACCACTCGCTTTGCCTTGGACAATCCAGATATCTGCGATACTGGAGGAATTTGTTTGAGTTGAATTAGGTGTGTTCTAGTCTCTATCCATCCTTTTCCGAGTCATCTCGCTTGCTTCCCCCCAAGCCCGCTCCCAACATCGGCCGGACTCGGTTAGCGACACATTCATCCACCATTTTCCAAGACAAAATCCATCCTTATTACATATTCAAGCGCTTGGAACCCCATTGTGTTAACTCCTGTCCTCTGTTCTCCTTAGTTTGCCCACATTTACCCTTTGGAGCCGCTTCTGGCTCTTGCGACTACAGATTACCCTCCCACCTCCATCAAAGTTTTGCACCGACAGCTTTTATACATACAGACCCGGGCGTGGCCCATCCATCAGCCCGATCTTTCGAATTCAACAATTGTGGTAGGTTTGACGGATTCTTCCCTCTACACCTGCCCTTCCTCTGTGTCTTGCCATGGATCACATTCCCGCCCTCTACGGCACATAAGCAGTGGGTTGATCCAGTCTTTGGTATAGCAGTGAAGTAATCCTCAATTTGGAACACTTTGATATGCAAGCGGTTCAGCATGAGGGGCTTCCTGGCCTGGTTGAGCAACCGGGTCTGGCAGACTCTGCCAATGTAGCTCGAGACCTGTCGCTCAAAGGCCCAGCACCCAAAAACATCGCCTTCGAATTGCTTCTCGATGAGAACTCCAAAGTACGCGCTCGTATTCCAATGCGCGTTCAAATCTATCCCCACGATACCACGGATTCGATCGTCACGACAGTCAAAAATTTCTATGGAATATATGACGGTACTGCCAGTGGGGTCAGCTTCGAGGATGAACATGGGACTACCCTCATAGCAAGGTACGAGAATCTCAAGAACAACAGGACTGTGTATGTGCGAGTCATTCCCATTCAACCATACGGGGATCACTTCTATAATGGTTTCAATGTCGAGCCCCGCAAGCGGCCCAGTTTGGCAGAGCCTTTCCAGATGGTAGATGGCATGGCGCCAGTGTTGGATCAGCCATCACGGCCAGCCTCCCGACTGGCGAGGAAGCGCAGCACCTCTCCGTCGAATCGGAGTCTCCGCAGCGCTTCTCAGCACAAGCCTCCCTCCCGCGCAGGCAACAAAAGCCGGGCTTCAAGCATCCACGGAGGTTTCCATGATGATGATGGCTATAGCGATACCGAGAGCGCTTATGCTCGCAGGGCCCGCAATGAGCTATTTGCAAGCTCTGATATCAGCATGGAGAATATACTACAAGATGGTCGTCGGAAACGACCCAAGTTCGATAGCTCTGTGAGTGACTCATGCGAGAGAACTTGTTCCTTGATTAAACACTGTCACTAACCAGCCTATTCCACTTAGGAGCTCCCACTGTTTGTTCCTCCCCAAGTGCCCCTCACTACTTCCACCTCCTCCATCTCTCCTCAGCGTCGATCGATTGGGCAGGAAGGCGCTGGGTCGCCTTTCGCACGTCCACCGCAACGCCCGTATAGCTATCAGCATGCGCTTCCATCACCGCAAAGCTATGGTCACAGCGAGTACGGTGTTCACTCCGGACGCAATACGATTTATGCGACTCCTGTTGTTCCAGACCATTCAAATCGCATGCGCGACACGGGAGCCTATAACAACTCGGCTAGCCGAGTGAGCGGCCCAGGTGTATTGCCCACACCTGACCCCACCATTGCAAGCTGCATCTCTGATGAGGATGTGGCGATGCAATTGATACGTTTAGGCGATGCGTCCAATTTTTCCCATGGGCGCACCTCTGCCTCGACATTGGACGATGCCTTTAGTGGCGCTGCTGACGCTGCCTCTTCTACTGGTGCTACCAGCGATGGGGAAGAATTCAGCGAGGATGAGGATGACCTGCCAGCTCGTCGCCAGAGGTTGGACTCGAGCCCAATGCTGCCGCCGGGAACCATCAAGCGCCATCTCAAGGGCTTGGATGACATTCTTCCCAGCGCCGATAGCAGCGATCACAGCTCGGATGGTGCAGATGATAGCATGAAAAGTGAAGCTGAAGACGATATCCTTTACAAGGAGTTTGCACCCAAGGCAAAGAAGCCGAAGAGCCGCCCCACATCTTTCAAGGCTCGGAACCAGAAGCCTGCACCTGCGAAACCGAACAAAAGCAAGGCTGCTATGCCTGCTCCTCGCAAATCATCCGAGAAGTCAGCTGCGCCTGTTCCGCCTCTCAGCCCGGCTTCCTCCCGAAAGGTCTCTGGGGGCTCGGTCAACTTCCAGCACCAGCTTGGTGCGGATGAAGAAGACCTTTCCACCAAGCCCCGCTGCCAGCGATGCCGCAAGAGCAAGAAGGGCTGTGACCGTCAGCGCCCATGTGGGCGCTGCAAGGATGCCGGCATTGGAATTGACGGTTGTCTTAGTGAGGATGAGGGCAATGGTCGCAAAGGGCGCTACGGTCGCCATATGGGCGTCCCCGTGAAGAAGACCGGGGAAGAGATGGAGGAGGAGGAGGAGTTCTCATTAGCGCCTGTGACCCCTCCTATTACTTCGTCTACAGCTGACAAGAACAAGAAGCGGAAGCGCTAGTGGAGCTTCAGGCCGTGATTGCTCCCGCTATCTCTAAGCGCCGAAGTGTCCGCACCTCCAATCTTCTTCGTGACCATGGGATCTCTCATTCATCTTACCATCCTCTATGGGCCAATCTCACCCGTCCCCACTCTCTCCTTTCACCCTCTTCTGGCCAGCGCCCGAGACAGTCCTTATACTAACACACTACCATCATTTGCCCTTCTCGCTCCACATTCCCTTCACTGGTTACAAGCCATGCTCCCTCCATTACACACTGCCAAGCGGTTGATATGTTCTTGTTGTGTCCCTTCGGCGTCTTAGTGTTCCTGCGAGCTATATGCTTCTTGTCACGTCCCCTCGCTCATTCGAAATCAATGCTACTGGGCTATTTATCATTCTATGTGTCAGTTTCATGTGTGTGGTGTACGGTGGACTAGTAGCAGAAGTATATAGTACTTCCGAGGGAAGGCTAGGCTAGATTAAAGGTGACAAGCTGTAGAGGATGTGCCTATTTTGCTTTATTTTTGTCTTATGGATAGTTGGGGAGTCAATGGAAGGGTTTAAATCTTTATTGTGCAATTCACTGTTCGAAAATTCTATTCAGTATCCTAGTAGCCTACATAGCCAGAGTGTGCATGTCCGTGTCGATCAGCGTTTGGCGGGATAGGTCACATGACAATGGCGGTGTGATTGGCCCCGCAACTTTTTTGAAGAGCTCAACTTTCTCGAACCTCAAAACGCTCGCACTTCTTTTACGAAACGACACTTTGCATATTTCCAGTCGCATTGTCGGGTGTCGCAGGAAACAGAACCTAGTTTTGCCAACGCTGAGTTTCTATGTGACGCGGTGCGCAAGCCAGCATCCTTACACGAAGTTTTCTCCAACCACTCGGCAAGCCGCACTCAGCGCCTTGTCTGAAAAGCCACGACAATGCCTCCCAAAGCTACCTCTCGTGGAAGCACCCGCGGAGGTACTGCGAATCGCGGTGCCCGATCTGACACAACCACCCCAACTCCCGCTGGCGGGGGCACTGCGCCAAATGCTCCCACGACAACCGGCGCGCCCGGTCCTGCGAGTCGAGCATCAGTGCAACGACTTCAATCACTGAACAAACGCACACCTTCCGGTAGCATTGCGCCCAGCACCCGGCCGCCGTCGGCACTTGGTGGCGAGCCGCCCAAGCCAGTCATGAAATACAAACCGAAGGCCGTTGGGCGTCGCAGCAAGCAGGAACGAGAGGAGATAGAGCGGCTGGAGCAAGAACGATACAATGAGCGTCTGAAGGAGGCTGCCGCTATTCAGCGTGGCCGTGGTGGTACTGCTCGCCGTGGTGGCTTCCGCGGTCGCGGTGGACCCATGGCTATGGGTATGAGTGGATTTGGTGGACGAGGCGGCAAGCGAGGCCGTGGCGGCTATGGTGGTGGTGGTGGAGGCGGTGGATATGGAGGAGGCGCAGGCGGCGCAGGTTCCGGATACAATCGGTCTGGTCTTACTGGAGGCAACAACCGCGGGCGTGCATATGACTCTTCAGACGACGAAGAGAATGCACTCCGTGTCAGCATCGACCATATCAACCTCGACAGTGACGATGAGGATTGGGATACACCGAAGGATTTCAAGGGAAAACAACCCAGCAGGTCGAGCGGCGGACTTCGTCCCGTTCGTGTTGAGCGACATGAACACGAGGAAAGAGTTATTAGCGTCAACATGGAATCCAGCACGAGCAGAACCGACGATCTCCGCAAAAAAGCAGAGAAGGAGAAAGTCGCGAAGGATGTCGGCCGCACACCTACTAAGGTCAAACCCGAACCCCAAGATGATGATACAACTATGCAGGATGCTATTCCATATGCGGATGACGACGACTTCCTTCCAGAGCATAATGTCCGTGTGCGCTCGGCTCAGAGCATGAGTCCAACAAAGAGGAGCACAACAGAGCTACGATCGACTCAACAGACGCCTGAGCCCGAACTTCCCGACCCACGCAGCCTACTTAACACTAAAGAGGAAATCGACGAATATGACCGACACATGGAAGATTTGGCTATCATCAGGGATCTTCTCGTCCCCAAGGAGTCAAAGAAGACCACCACAGAAGCAGAAACAACCGAAGGAGCTGCTGAAGGTACAACACCCGCAGTGGAAGGACAGGATGGCGACGAATCAAATGAAAAGAAAGAAGAGGAAGAGGAAGAAGACAATCCCCTGCATGGCCAAATGTTCCTCATGCAATTCCCACCAATGACCCCCTACCTCAAAGTCGCCGGTTCCGCCGAACAGCAACCTGCAGTCACTGCCGCAGCCCCCCATAACGAGATCAAGCGCGAAGCAGGCGAGGACGTGGAGATTGTGGAAAATACCAAACCAACCGAACAACAAGAAACCAGCGTCTTCACGGCTGGCCAACCTTGGTCTCTACCCACCGGCCGTGTCGGCAAATTGAATGTACACCAATCAGGACGTGTGACGCTAGATTGGGGTGGAATTAGTATGGAGTTAGATCGTGGAGCGCCGGTTGGTTTCGTCCAGGAAGCCGTCATCATGTCAAAGCCGTCACCAGATTCAGAGGAAGAAAGCAAAAAAAATGTTTGGTCCATGGGCCAATTGTCTGGCAAGTTCACAGTCACGCCGAACTGGGATGCGATGCTTTAAATATCTACCCAAGGTACCTTATGATGAACGGAAAGAAATTCGAGCGAACTTATTCAACAATCCTTTCAGTCATTAACTTGACAGTCACTTAAGATAGCTAGAGTAGGGTGGAAATCTTTTTAGGGATTCAACCTTAAGCCTTAATAGGTTAATAGTGCATATCAAAGAACAGTAACTTTTCTATTTGATCACGGGTCACGTGGTCGGATTTATATATATTTGACGATTTGAACCAGGCAATACTCTGCACTTCATACAATATGGTATCATCCCTCGAGAGTGAGGGATAGGGAGGAAGCTAGAGGCAACTACGCATTTATTCATGCCAAAAATATATCAATTTGAATTGACACTAAAACCCCGAAAAAGATCTGTGATTTCCATGGTTCTGAGTATCAGAACCTTCAATGGAACCTATGCCAATTCACACTCAATAAGACTCTCAATTCCTCTGTGGACATTCCAAATCTTCTTGATCTTCAGTCCAGCAGATTCCACCAGTCTGTGCCACTCGGCTTCAGTCCGCTCAGTAGTAGCGAAATCGGCCATCATGAGAAGATCCATGCTGGTTGTCTCCCAGTATGCGTCGGTAGCAGTGACAACTTGGTCGTTAATTAGCACCTTGCTAAATCCGGGCTTCATGGCATCCGCGATAGCCTTCAGCATCTTGCGGGCATTATCATCTGACCAGTCGTGGATAACAGTGTGGAAATAGTAAGCGCGAGCGCCTATAGAAGAAAAGGTTAGCTTTAGTACAAGTAGTCTTCCGCACGATCTAGTAAGCCCTAGGGCCCCAAGTCCTGACCCAACCTAGAGTGGTTGGGTTCTGGGTCGAGACCTTCGACCCAAAATGGGTTATGCGGAAGTCTAAGTTGAAGTTAAGGGGGCTCTAAAAGGAAAAAAAAAAATATACCCTTGATAGGCTGCTCAGTGAAGAAGTCATGCACCATCGGCTCAATAGACGGGTGTAGTTGCTTTTTCTTAGATTGAGCAGTCAGCTCGGGAGTATCTTGTAGCACTAGGCGTCCAGGAGCATCAGGCCACTTGCGTCTAAACTCGGAGATGTCGTGGCCTAGGCCACCACCGATATCGACAAGGAGAACATCATCTTGTCCAACATTAGCGATCAGGCTAGGGACATCGTAGAAACCGGCGTCCATCCAACTAGGACGTCCTTGGCGGTAAAAAGCCATATGGTTGTTGAACTGGCTAGCAATCACTGGGTTCTCCTTCAAATACTCGAAGAAATGAAGATCGGTTTGGTATCCGCGCTGGAAAGCACAATCCTTGCCGTTGGATGGGTTAACATATCCGGCCTGTTTAAGATAGGCAGGTAGAGCAACCACACCGGCGGTTAGGCAATTAGTCCTAATTAATACGTTAACGTTGCACTTTCTTATATCTAACAACCTTAGGTCTATAGGCTTAGACTTACGCGCAAGCGTATGAATCAATGCATAGCTTCCAGCTTAACGAAATAGTAGTTCCGGTGCGGCGGTATTCATCAGGACCGGTCTGAAGGATGACTCCCATTGTGCTCAAGTGCTTCAGGATGCGACCTGGTTAGATGTATGGTTAGCTAGGGGTATCCATAAGGCAGGCAAGATGATAATTGTGGGGGAAAAGATACAGCCATTTTACCTCTGGACCGGAACAAAAACCTCGGTTCCTGTTCAAGGTCCAGGGGGACCATATCCCAGTTTGACAATAAATCACATACCAAGAAAGGCTGGGTCAGCGCCTACGGCCTTGGCCAGCTCGGCAGTAGATTTGGGCTTTTCATCCTTAGATAAAATAGCAAAAAGTCCCAGATCAAAACCGATCTCCACACAAGCATACGTAGCAGCCTATAAAGCCAATATGAGTTGCCATTGAAAGTACCAAATTGAAGTTTGGGGACTTACATGGCTCCAACAATGTCTATTCATAGACTCACGCGGAGTTTGAAGTGCATAGATCAGGGATTGAGCAGCTTCCACAAGCGCGGTTCGATCGTTGTAGTCCTTCAGAATGACGGATTTGCCAAGGATAGTAATTTGATTGATCAGACTAGGAATCAGCTCGGGGGCACTAGGGGATGTTGCCACACTGGCAAAATAGGCCTCCTGGTCCCCTTCAGCGCGGGCGATTCCACTCAATGTGAGGTTTGCAACGTCAACCATTGTGGATGAAGTATGTGTAAGCTTAACAGTAAAGAAGATTGGAGATTGAAGTTTGAAAGTGCAGATGAGTATGAAGAGATATAGAACACACAGGTCATCGAAGAGTCTTTAAGCAAAATGTATTCACTCTCAATGCATCAAAACAAAATGTAGTCAATCTGGCCTTGTGTCCAAATGAGGCCACGCCAGCTGAGCAACGGTCCGGCCGGGTGTAACCATGTAGGGTTGCTGACATGAATATAACCTTAAATTGTCTCTGTCTGAGCTGGGCAACTCCCTCTTTTTGTCACCTGCAGGTTCTGAGGAAGTGGAGACTTGGTAGCTTAGCGTTGGTCGCTAGTGCAACAAAGCGAATTGAGTAAGTATAGACTCAAGAGATAATTACATTGAGTTTACTTCCGGGACCCTGGGGCCCCGGCAGCACTATGTGATGAGGGCAGAGACACTGAAACGTGCTACTATCCCGTTACCCCATGTGATGTGGTTTGGTGTGGATGTCATTGTATTCCTACCTAGTCACCCGGTTCTGTCCGAAGCACGACCCCTCTGCTAACTATACTCTATCACTGAGATATACGGATGAGAAGCTGTGTCACCAAGGACTTTCATCTTGTTAATTCTTGCTGCAGGCATAGAATTACCTAGAGACTATTCTTCCTAGGTTCATAGCTGAGGACCCTAACCCTGGATCGTCATAGTACGAAGCAGTTTTTCCAGGGTAATGCTACTTGTCCAAGCTAGCTCACTATCTTAGGTAAGACCTTAGCAGGATATACTACTAGATAGGATTCTGTAAGGATCGTATGGTTTCGATTAGATAGTTCTAGATATGGGACATTCATGTAACTAGTTAACTATAGACGGGTATAGTTATTACATAAGGAACACTGCCAAGCCTGGGGGCCTTGGGCATCAAGTTGTATGCAAACCCTGCAAACCGCCCGGGAGCACACATAAGAGTGCATGCATGTAGAGACAACATAATATTAGGGATGTTCGACGTAAGAACACTCCAATATGTTGCTGATTGCTCTCTCGAGGCATCGTTCAGATGTATACAATCTGTACAAAGGACTTTCCAAGGCCCATGTAGTCGATCCAGCTTCGTAATGTACATTGAGGCCTAGGAATTAAGGCACCAGAAATGCCAAGGCCCATCTACCCTGGATCAGCTAGCACGAACTTTGTTTGCGCGTGTCGAGCTCAACTAATTTGACCACCATTACATTCTCTATGCCCAGGAACATTAATGGCCAAGCCATAAGTCGGCCCAGCTTAACTGCGCATATTCTCTCTACAATGCCCGCATAGATCAAATCAATAGCTTCTCGTGCTACACGAACCCTCGCCATGTCGTTGCGTCCTCTCGGATATCAATGCAACATATCCTACGCGCAATTATTTCGCAATGGACAGCAAACAAGACTCACTATAACACCACCTTCAAGATCCTTCTCTCGATTACGCGACACCCATTGCATACATCGCTGGTCTGCGGCAAGTCCGCACCATGCAAATAAACCTTCGTTTTCACTACGGAGCTTTCTCGGTGATATTTTGAGACCTGCACACACACCCCAGGGCCACGGCAAGGGGCCATGGACTCAACAATGTCGCCATGAGACGACTTCTGTGGCCAAAGACCCCGAACTCTGCATGCACTGCAGTGAAAAAACCATTCCCAAGGCTAGAAGACACGTCGAAGCTGGCAACCTTTCCAGCGGCTGGCAATGTAAAGCATGTGTTCGCAACATCCGTGTCCATGGCCATCTACCAAATCAGGAGCAGCTTGAAGCGATCCGTCGGCGAAGACTGATCAGGACGAGTGGAGAGGCAAGCAAAATAAGTCCCTGCAGGCACTGCGGCACGATGACAGCCCCGAGGAGTAGCCGTAAATTTATTGATGCGAATAACCCTTTTGCCGGTTTCCACTGCCGGACATGTGTTCGGCATGTCAACCATCATGGTAACCTCCCAAACGAGCAAGATCTCGCTGCGTTCCAGTACCGCAAAGAGATGCGGAATAGATCTCCTACTGCCGCCCAAAAAAGAAAGCAGAGGACATTTCGAAAGAATCTATGACCCATAACCGTTCCAAGTCCTCCAAACAGATGAAACAGAGCCGCGGTGAATATCCCTGCATGCACTGCGGTGACAAAACCATCTCCAGCAGCAAGCGCAGGCTTGTTGAGCCCCGGAACCCTGCGGCAGGCTATTACTGCCAGCCATGCACGCGGTCCTTGCTCGAAACTGACGCCTTACCAAGTACAGTCAAGATTGCAGCGCTCAGAAAGCTCAGAGAAACCCGCATGCAAAGCAATCCTCGAGTCTTGAAGAGCCCTTGTGTCCACTGCGGTGAGATCACTGTCCCTAGCAGCAAGCGCCGACTCGTGGAGTCAAAGAACCCTCAGTCCGGATATTACTGCCGCGCCTGTGCGGACTGTTTAATCGAAACCAATTCACTACCCAGCGACATACGCCTTGCAGTTCGCAGAGCGCGAGAGCAGGTCAGGCTGAAAAACTTGCGGGCCAGCCTACCTCAAGAGTCGCAATCGCCGGTCTCTCAGAAGGAAGAAGCCACACCAATCGATACGCCCACGGACAAGACCGCAAAGGCTTGTGCGCACTCCACAAGCGAGAAAATCACGCCGGGCCCCTGAATCTGAGCATGTGTTCTTTGTCTATGAGGCATTTTGATCTCAAATCAGCTCATTTTTGAGAGGCTGGAAGTACCTTTGCGCAGGGATAACATGAACAAAAAGCCCGGGTGCGCTTACATCGGATATCGAGGCTGGTCGACGGCTGGATTGCTACCCGTGAAAGGCACCGCGTTCTAGGAACCCCAATATTGGAGGAAAAAAAACAACCAATGATTCATCCTTTGATCTGCCTTGGGCAAGGGTAGTAAATGTGTTGATTTGCCCATTATTCTATATTGTATATGTTGTATGCGCGTCGTCATCTTCCCTGCATCCAGCCATCTTATTCGCTCGAATTTGGCATCTGCATTGACGATCATTTGTGGCGCTGTCCATTAAGCCTCGGGATGTCTTCGGGAAGCTATAATTAGAAATCCATCACATTGTTCAAAGTACAAGGTAAGATGTACGGAGTACTCTGTAGATGCATGTATAAGATCAATATGAAATTATTGAATCACCCTAACAGCAATCATCACCGTTTAAAGATTCAAGAATAAATAAACAATGGATAGCCTTCGGACACGGGGAGGGTTCAACCAATCAAACCCACCCAATCCAGCCCCACTCGGGACGGTTCAGGGACAGAGCCAAAGACAGTCGAAAAGCGGCTCGGCCAATCCAAAAGCCTCGCCCTAATCGGCTTCATCGTGATTTTCCCTTAATCTCCCTTCCCCCTAGGTTGTTTCGCTTTCTGGGTTTATTTTTCTTTTCTTCTCTTTCCTCCACGACTAAAAGTGATTTGGACGGAGTATCGAGAGAGAAAAGGCGAAACTCCCCGGAAGCTCCCCTCTTTCCGTGTTTAGCCCCCTATTCACTCGATTGCCTGACTACAATCCCGACACAGCAACCCACTCGAATTTGAGTGGTATGCTCTGAGCCTGCACAACTTATATTGGAGAAGAAACTCGTCCGAATAATATTCATCACCTCCAACCTTCTCCACGTCTTATCTGCAGCACTGTTGCCTTGCCAACTCCAGACCCCCGTCATCCGCGACCCGCACCATCAAGCTTGGCGTTGCTTGTTCCTCGTAGGCAACAACGCAAAGCATTTGCACGCCAGTCTATATCCATATTATACACCTATAATCTACCAACAATGAAGCCATCCGCCTTTCTGGTCTTTCTCGCCCCAGCTGCCGTCCTAGCAGAATCACAACAACCCGCAGGCGCCAGCCTTTCCTCTGATTTCGCGCACAACTCCCCCGCCGTCTCATTACCAGAACTTCCTCCCCGGGAGCAATTCGCTCCCTTTACGGATCGCGACGTGCCAACTGATGAGATGCGCTTGCTCGCTGCTCGCTATGTCCTCCAGGCGCGCAGTGAAGGTTCCCTCGGCCAAACGCCGTGGATTGGCATGGCTATCGGGTTAACCTTTACTGCTTTGACGGCCGTGATGCTCGGGTGAATCGTTGGCCAGGAGTTGCTTTGGAACGAACACCCACCTTGCGATCTTCCGACTTTCGATACATATACCTCCTTCTGTTTATTTCTTCTCTTTTGACACGACATGTGAAACGCCGAGCACTGCTCGAACTTTGTTTATTTTTTCCGCTCGACATACTTCTGCTCCTTTTCTATTGTTCATATTCTTGCGGACTTTTGCAGCGGATTCTTACCATTTTGTCTATTTTGCATCCATGGTCTTGTGTTTCTGGCGTGGGATTGGACCTTTGAGCTCCCTTTTTTCTTCATATTGCATCGCCCGACTACCGAGTTACTCCATGTACTCGATGTTGTCGAAAGTATAAAGTTGCATGTTATATGCATGTTGTACATGATACCTTTTTGTTTCTGATGCAGATCTTGTGCCCAGGTGTGTACATGGGATTTACCTAATTAGTGTATATACATATGGAATCCGAACTGACTACGGGGTACTCCGTATACATTTTTGCTTTTCATTTTCTTTTCTTTCAGATTTTGTGTTCGCTAGTCTGCGCCTCTTTCGTACTTGGACTCGGACTTGGGCGCTTTCTTTGTTTCTCGAAATCCAATATTTCACTCTCAAAGGATATTTCGATATTCTTCCTTTTCACCATGTCTATTGGTTCAATCTTTGAAAAGGAACCCCGTTTTTTCCCCTTCCAATTTTGATCGCAGTCGGACAAACAGCCCACTCCGTGCTATTAGGGCAGACGCAAAAATCCCGGGGCCTGTCAGATTCCCGCGCTCCATATTGACATTTGTGCTCTGATTTTCTCTCAAACTTCGTCCTCAAATCCATTAGAAAGAGAGATCTTTCATTTTCATGGGAGTGGGTATACACCCTCGCACACTCCAAAGACAACTACACCACAGAACCAACCCTCCCTCACCATGGACATGGACGAATACCCACCCTACACGCCGATGCCCTCCCTCAACCACGAGCTAGGGCTAATGTTCGGCTTCCTCTCTCTCTTCATAGTAGCTATGGGTGCATACATAGCTCTCTGGCGCAGTAAGTTCCCTCTCTCCCATTCTCTCATATATCTCTATATCACCCCAAAGATCCAAAACCCCACTTGTTGCTATATACATGTACACCTTTCCAATGCCATTTAAACATAACACAATCATGATCAAACCTTCACTATCCTAACAACAATTCCCAGTATCCCAAACCCGTCTATGCGCTCAAGACCTCGCCCGCCGCAGAGCCTACCACGAGAAAAACACCCCCCACGCACCCCTAGGAACAACAACCTCCGTAACAGCAGGTCTGCCTCCAAGTCCCGGCAAAGACTCAAAATCCAAAGCAGAGGTGCAAGAAAAAATGCTTGACCGTATCGGTTTGCCTGAGAACCGTGCTGAGTTACCTGTCCATGGGATGGAGCTGTTTGGGGTTGGGAAGTGGAATGCGAGAACACCGCATATCAGATGTCCTTTTAGTCGGGCTACGCCGCTTAGTCCTGTTAGCCCTGCTAGTCCGCTTGGAAGCGGGACTGTGGATGGAGCTGTTGGTTCTGTTAGTCCTGTTCGAGGTGAGGCTGGGCTTGGGTCTATTTTTGGGATTGCGTTGGATGGGGGAAGGAGTTTGAGTCAGGGGTTTGGGTTTCGGTCGGCGAGTCCGGCTAGGAGAGTTGGGGGGAGGATTGGACCGGTTGAGATTGGGCCTGCGCCTAGTCGGGAGTAGGGTTGGGATTTATGATATGTTAGGTTGTATGAAAGAGAGGCGGATTATGGTGTTGGTGGGTGTTGATAGTTTGGGTAATTTTGATATTGTCTAGAGGGATTCGACCGTCGATTCAATTGTGCTATTCCCGTTTTTCTCTCATGTTATTTGAAATTCTTGCAGCTATACTTTACATTATACTCTAGACTATACTATACATCACCAGCTATCTATCTACACACAGGCTTGTCAAATCCACGAGTCCACAGCAACGAGCCCATGATAACAACCAAAAATCCAAGCGCAACCAGCACACTGGCAGTTCCGTACACATACGAATAACGCCGATGGGATAGTCCTTTCAACTCAGCAACCCAAGTACTGATAGTGGTCGCGCTCCCACAAAATCCATCCATGATACCCTGCAACACCTGGCAACCTGTTAGAGCAGCAGGAACGACCGCCCCAAGACCGCTAACATGCTGCAAATCATAGCAAAGACCCAAAATGATAGTCCCAAAGATATTCACCACAAACGTGCCAAGAGGGAAGGTCGGAATCTTACTATTCAAACGCAGCGAAACATAGAACCGAAGGAGACAGCCAAGCGGCGCAAAGACAAGAGCGAACACCGCCCGGCCACGCCACACATCCGGGCCATGAAATCGATCTGGTGGCCAAATAGCCAAGAACACAGCTCCGAGCCAGCATCCCCAGGCAAGCACAACCACTACACGGTCGAGGATTCGTCGCGTGAATGCGAAGGGCACGGTAGGTGTGACACGTGTTAAAGCCAGGGCAAGATGTGCACCGAATATCAACGCCGACAGACTCAGCGACACAGTGAGGAAGATCACAGCAACGAGAGCCATGAAGCTATACCCGCCATTACGGGATGCGATGTGTGATCCGGTCGGCAGCGACGGATCAGGAAGGGCATTTGCCAGGGCGAGGAAGATGTCCCGGATAAAAGACGAGAAGGAAGTGAAGCAACCACAGAAACCAGTTGTCAGACCAATATACAGCGGGATGGTCTTCTTCACGGCCATGTGTTTCTGGCTCTTGATCTTAGGGTCGTTCACGGCTGGGTCTGTATCTGGTTCCTTGGCTTTTTGGCCCCACTCTTCGCGGAATAGATTGTGGTCTTCGCTCAGGAAGCCCATTACCAGGCTTCCGCCTACATTCGCCCATAGCACCCCTGTCACGACGGGAGCGCCTGTGTAGAATGTTAGAGCTTGGAGGCCTAGACGGGCTAGTGTGCCCAGGAGGGAGAAGAAGATTAAATAAGAGACGGTGTAGAGGAGGGTTGCGTGTTTGGAGAGGGGTTGTGCAGCGGATGCAGGTGGTGCAGGTGCGTGGTCACCCGAGGGCCATTCGTTTGGATCCCCCCTCCCTTGGACCTCTGTTAAAGGGAAGGTGGATGAGGGATCTGTAGTTGATGGCATGCCCAGTTGAAGGGAGAAAGGGAAAAGATTGCCAAGAATCGGAGACCGGAGATCAGGTGGAGTCCGATAAGATTAGGTCAGTTTTGTTGTATAGAGGATAAGAGGGGGAAAGATAAAGGGACAGGACTTATACCCAGAGGTATATGTACTTCTTCCCTCTTCTCTTCCTCTCTCTCTCTTTTCCTCTTCTCCATCTCGATCCTTCATCATGTCTCTCCCATCAAATGTTCATGTCTCCTCTCACCCTTGTCTCCAAGCCAAGCTCTCTTTAATCCGCTCATCGTCCACAACCCCGCGCGAGACAAGAGGCTTGGTCCATGACATTGCCAACATTCTCGCCGTGGAGGCCTTTGCTGGACTGAAGCTCGTCAAAACCGGCACGGTAAATAGACCATTGAACCCCATTAGCATTGGGCTTCCTAACACTCAAATCCCAGGATACCACCCCTCTCGGAATCGAGTATGAAACCCAGGGAATTGACCCAGCCGACTTGGCTCTAGTGCCAATCCTCCGATCAGGCCTCGGAATGGTTGATGGTGAGTGATTCATTCTCTTATACCCCCAGCACTGCAACTGTAACCCATATGGTTATTTCCCATATGACCATATTGCTCCATTCTCCACATCCCACTCCCATTCTCATTCCCATTACCAATTCCAACCCCAATCTCAATCTCAATCTCAATTCCACTTGTTATCTCCCCCTATCACCGCCCCCACCTGGGCACCCTTATCCCCCACTCCTAGCCCGTCCCCCGCTTACACGGCCCCCACAGCCCTAAACGACCTCCTCCCAACTCCAGTCCCAGTCTACCACCTGGGTCTGTTCCGCGAAAAGGTCTCCCTCCAACCCGTAGAATACTACAACAACCTCCCCTTCCACCGGTCGGAGCTGTCCCCAGCCTCCCCAGCCTCTCTCAACCCAACTACCAATACCGCAGCTGCAAGTCTGGCGGTGCTATTGGACCCGGTTATCGCCACTGGTGCGACAGCCGAGGCGGCGATTCAATTGCTGCGGGATTGGGGTGTGAAGAAAGTTATTATGATTAGTTTGCTTGCTTCGGAAGAGGGGGTGAAGCGTGCTGCGGGGACTTGGGGGGATGTTGAGGTTTGGGTGGGTGCTATTGATAAGGGTGTTGATGAGAAGGGTATGATCGTGCCTGGTATTGGAGATATTGGTGATCGGTTGTTTGTTGCTGTTGGGAAGTAGTTTTGTTTTGTTTGGCATCAGCATTAGCATTGGCATAACGCATGACTGTTTCGGGTTTAGATACTAAAGATGGTTATGCACGTATCACTACAACTACAAATTGGCTAAATATGATCAAGACTACAATTCAAATCTACAATCCAAGGTCTACATGTAGGAAGAAGGTTGTCCCCGCCAGATAATTCATCGATAACGTATAGTACATGGAAATGGCATAAAAACATGTGCAGGTGAAACAAAATGCAAAAATAAATCTTGAAAGCAATGCTGAGCGTAAAAAGCATAACAAGCAAATGACGGGGTTCGAAGGGCAGGCAATTAACATCAAATACAGTGGCTGGAAATCAACCAAAGAAGCAAAGGCAAATGGCAAGAAATGAAAACGGCAACGCGAACGCATGAAAAATCAAAAGGTATCGAGAGCAAAAAAAGAAGCAGATGGACGAGGGGGCACGATTAGGGGTTAATGTGAACCATAATGTCAAACTCCACGGAGTGCGAAAGTACACACAGGACCAGCCAGGTGTCGAAGACGGAAAGCAGAAACACCACACTGGACTCCCTGGTGTAAGAAAAAGCAGGGAAAATGCAAATGAAAAAAAGCAACTAGGAACCACCGAGAGGTCAAAAGGCGAAGTGTTCCAGAGCTAAGTGCCCCAATACGCCCGCCTGCCCACTGGCATGTCCCTAGTTCCGAAGTGTCCCAATGAAAGCGTCCAACAAATGAGAGTAAGAAATCAAAAAGCGGAAATTTCAAGATATAGGCAAGAGATCAAGTTGAAATTGATCGGAAAATTTAGTATGCAGTGCCGACACTAGCAAGCGACTTGGTTGGCACTGCGTGGATTGGCTGGTCTTTGCCAACACGGAGAGAGTCTTCGTAGCCGACAAGGGCCTGGGAGTGGAGCTTGAATGATTCGCCCATCAGCTTGGTAATTCTGTAAAAGAGTTAGTGATTTGGTCGATGTGAGGAGAGATTAAAAAAAAAAAAAACATACCCCCAGACAACCACGCCGTCTAGGATGTTACCCCATACACGGGCGACGGTAGAGCTGAGTTTGCCAAAGGCATCGATGGCATCGTCATCAAACAGATTGCGGACCTTATTGTAGAGGGCCATTTCGGCCTCAGTCGCCGGCTCATCGTCATGTTCCAGGCGGTAGAGCCAGAGGCTCAGGATGACCATCAGATCCAGGCCGCAGAGAGGGTGCTCGACGCTCCAGTTAGTAGCGGAAGTCTTGGCAACCCAATTAATGCCTTGAATAGCGGCAATCTCAATGCATTCGAAACACTGTTGAATAACCTTGTTCATTTCCTGCGAGCGCTTGACCTTCTCACGAGCGACAGTCATGGCAGCCGCCACCTCGTAAGATGAGTGGTATCGCATCGCCTCCTGGATGGACTTGAGGTCAACTGCCAGGCGGGCGCGGGTGTTACGGTAGACTGCCATCGAGTTGAAGATCAATGGGTGACCCTTTTGAGGAGTGCTAAGCGGGACCACAATTGTTTCCGGTTCACAAACCTCGAGGGAGCTCTCCCAGGTCTCGAGGGCCAGACGCAGCTTGTATTCGGTAACCACATCTTGAAGCGCCTCAAAGCTGCGCTTGTGGCTCCAGACTTGCAGGAACAGGGCGTTGATGAGAACACGGGTGGCGAATGCACTGTAGCGGGTCTGTTCGCCCTGGAAAAGGAAATCGTGGGCCTCGCGCACGGTCAAGGCGCTCGAGACTGTGCCACGGCGCCAGCTCTCATCATCAGTGGCGTCCAAGTTCCACAGGGACTCCGAGGACGGAAGCTCCAAGTCGTCAAACTCATCGAAGCTCATAGCGGGAGTGTGGTTGAATGTAAGCGTCAACATGCCGAAGAAGATGTACACGGCGAAGTATGTGCGACGGCAAGATTCGTCCTCAATCCATTCCTCGCGCGATGGCTGGACATTCTGGCGAGCCTGGGTCCGCAACTTGAGCTGGTACCGATTGCCGGCGACCATGTTGGCCAAGAGACTCTTGATTGAACAAGTCCATTCCAGACCCTTCGGGTCGCCGCTCCAGCTCTCAAATACCATGTTCAACAAGGTAGCCTGCATCAATGACAAGGGGCACTTGCGGGAATCGAAGTTGTCCTTGTGCTGAAGGAATTGATTGACCAGTACCTTGGAGCCGACATGGAGCATGAAGGCGTGCTCGCGCTCGAAGGTGTAAAGAGCACCAATTGACAAAACTGCAAGCAACAGCGGTGCTGGAACTTGAGAAGGCTTGAATGATTCTTGGTGGAGGAATGGCAAGTGAGGATGGTACAGGTTAAAGTAGGTGGACAAATACCGGTTCAGCGCAACCGTGGAAGGAAGCTGGAAAGTGTCAGGCAGCGCACCAAGGGTGTCTGATGCCTGAACCCGGTCCACTACATAGTTGCGTTCCATGTCGTTAGCAAGTTGGGGAGCCCTGGGAAGGGTCAGCGCTTGACTAGGACCGGGCGAGCGGCGGTAGTTAACCGGGCTAACGGGACCAGTCATGGAGGGGTAGGGCGACAACGCATTCGGGGTAGAGTGGCCGGACATAGGCAGCGAGTTAGACATGAGAACGTCCCCGAGGGGGCCATGGCGATCGACGAGAGTGGGCATCGAGCCCGGTTCTGCGGGGGAGATAAGGGTGTCCCAAGGCATCTGAGGCAGAGTGGCGTTGCCTGAGAGGTAAGGCTCGAAGGAGCCGCGTCCTGGCGAAAGGGATTCGGAACGCTCGGAGGCCTGGCCGGTTGCTGCTGCTGCAGCCTTATGTTGGAAGTCTGTCATCAACATGGCTGCAGTTTCAAGGTCGACCATACCATCGCTGCTTGTGCTTGCCTCGGTCTGCTCCAACGTCGTCGGGTCAACCGTAGCCGAGGACCTAGCCGGAGCAGATGCAGAGTTTTTCTGAACCCCTCCACCACGTCTACGCCCCTCTGCGACCAGGGGAATTCCACCGTCCTTGGCGTGAACAGTCCGGTCGTGTCGCAAAAGAAGATCGCGACGGACAAAGGTACTGCGACATTTTAAGCACTTGAAGGGTCTCTCTTTCGTGTCTGTATTGTTTCCGAGTTTGTTAGATTGAAATCGACGCGACTTGGGGAATAGGTTTTTAATCTTACGTGAGCGCTCATGGCGACTGCGATGTTCACTTCTGCTGAACGCGCGATTGCAAAATTGACATTTGTATTTCTTCTCTGGGGCCGATGTTTTCTTGGCCGGTGAGTTGGCCGTCCCAGGTGCGGAAGGAGCCATGTGTAGGGTTTAGAGCGACGGTGGTATTGTCCCCTGAGTAAGTTCGCACCGGTTCTGTAGGCGTGTCGACGACAGAAGTTCGTTGGGATGTCTGATCATTCCTTGAGTGGGGGGAAAAGTTAAGAGAGAAAGTGGTGTCCAGCCACAAGGGAGATATTAGAAGAAGCAAACGCTGTTAGAAAAAATAATAATAAAAAAAAAAAGAACGATTAGATGGAAGGGGAGGGGAAGAGGGGACGGAGAAGATTAAGAAGGATTTTGGGATTTCTGGGATTTCGGGTTTTTGGGGGGGACGATGGAGGGGGATGTGAGAGGGGAGCGAAGGGAGGGGGGAAAAGGACGTGGGCATAAATAGATCGCTTACTTACGTGTTGAAGCAATGACCAACAGAGGGGCGAAAGCGGGACCGATTACAGCTACAAGGACTATCAGAGAGGGGAACTCACAGGAACTGTTACCCAGCCCCCTCTTCACCCACGCACTTTTCCTTTCACCCACACCCACTTTTGCCCAGTCCAATGTGCCCCCCCTTT